CCCCACCACCATCCTGGAGCTAAACATTGAAAGGTAAATTTACACGTATTGTTATATACAATTTAATGCACCTCGCGCGAGGGGCTCGGTGTACAAAGAAAACCCGAGGTTTGAAATTTTTTATAATAATAATATACTTACTGAAAACATTGTTCGAAAGCTTTATTTTCATTTGAGGAAACATAAAGATAAAGTGAGACAAGACGTCGATCAATATAATTGCATACAATGCATTCAAAAACATATAAACAAATCATTACGGCATGAATATACACTCACAAAAGTACGACGAAATTTATGATCCCCCAAAACGTATCTTGAATAATTGTCGTACGCCATATACTACGGCTTTCTTGTACATTACCTAGACACAAAATATACGGTGAGAAAGAGGTCAAAACGTTTTATTTAAAGAGAAAAAATGATTATTATCGACGAACCTCCCGACACGTACGGCATTTTGAAATGTTTTTGTTGTACCCAAGCCCCCAGTACCTTTACTCGGCTCATACGTTCAACTATAAACTGGATTGAGAAGCGGTATCATTCGTGCGTGCCACTGTTTCAAAACAGGGGCGGATCCAACTGGGGTGCAGGGGGAGGGTCCGCATGTTGGCATTCAACCTATGGTTATACCGTTGACTGTCTTCGGCATAACCATTCCACTTGGATGGTTATACCGTTGACAGTCTTCGGCATAACCATTCAAGTTCTTCGGCATAACCATTCAACTTGAATTGGATGTTTATTTCGTTGACTGTCTTCGGCACAACCATTCAACTTGAATTGGATGTTTATTTCGTTGACTGTCTTCGGCACAACCATTCAACTTGAATTGGATGTTTATTTCGTAGACTGTCTTCGGCATAACCATTCAACTTGAATTGGATGTTTATTTCGTTGACTGTCTTCGGCATAACCATTCAACTTGAATTGGATGTTTATTTCGTTGACTGTCTTCGGCATAACCATTCAACTTGAATTGGATGTTTATTTCGTTGACTGTCTTCTGGTAACCATTCAACTTGAATTTGGTGGTTATGCCGTTGACTCTCTTCGGCATAACCATTCAACTTGAATTGGATGGTTATGCCGTTGACTGTCTTCGGCATAACCATAGATGAACCTATAATTCAAAAAGTCGCTCCATAACCATGGTTCACTACTTCACTTTAATCGAAAAAAGTAAGTGCGGGGCCCCCAAAAGCGCGGGGGTCGAGGCATTTGCCACTTTTGCCATATGGTGAATCCGGCACTGGTTATACAGCCATAATGTAAAAGGTAGCAGAACGGTGAGCATGCAGATTCGGCCATCTCAAATAACGGTGGTTGGAAATCTCACATTCTTGATTCTTGCTAAGATTGCTGAGGAGAGTGTGCAGTAAAGCTGGTTTTCCTCCTGGTGAGACACAACATCGTCCCAAAGGAGTGAGACGGAATTTTGTACATGAGTGGAATTTTTCTTTGTCTTTTCTAATTAGTTCCACTAGAGAAATCACAGAACAAAGAAAAATTCCGCTCCGCGCGCAAAATTTTTTTGCAAGTTTGCAATTCTAATTTTATAAACCAGCATAAACATGCAAAAATATGTGGGTGTGGCTATAGAATTTGTGAGAGTGATATAAGATCGTCATGCTTGGTTTCCTGCCAGCGCGAAATTTGAATTTTAACACGAGGATATTTTCGTCGACAAGAAATGCTTTCTGAACATGAAGAAGTTGATGAAGTTCGCTTTCCTCGTTCAAATAACTTTTCTGGACATTGTATGGTTGCTTACGACTAAT